GAGTGCAATGGCTTTTTTTCACCTGGATTGTTCAGATCGGATTTTAATATGGATAGAGCAGCTAAAACGAAACTAATTTTTATAATTATTCTCTATTATTGTTCATCAGTCTTTGGTATCTATTTACCTTTCGAAAAACACTCGACAACAAGAAGCAGCGAGAGTAATCAACGATATGATGTTGATGCTTGATCGATAGCAACAAAATTGACTGTGATACGTTTGCCTGCTCGTATAAATTAGAATAAGTATTTGTCTTCCTCGCTCATTCCCGATAATCCGCCTAATCCAAATGCTATGGCCTTGTCTTCATCGATGACGATAATAACAGAGGGAACGTTGTTGATACGATCGCATTCCTATGAACTGAGCTGACCTTATTCTATTCTTCCTATTATTTTGATACAGATAACATGTGCTATTTGTTAAAAGATCGTTAAATTATGAAGCAAAGCCAAGATTTACATTTTAATGATTTGTTTTCTCGTTGCACAAGAAAATGAATATGAAATGAGATTATTAATCAAGATAATACAGTTATATATTGATTGTGTGTGTACGTATAAATTAAAACAAAAGTTGCTCTCACACCCACATTCACACTTTGATATTATCAAACTCAAGACCTATCACACGTTATCCTATTGAATAGAAATAAGTGGATTAATCGAAGTTTATTATAGATACATCTATTTTAAACTGATAACGAAAATTTCAAGAGTTACATTATCCCCGAAATTTGCTGCCAATTAGATATCTACTAATTACATTTAAAGTCATATTCAACAGAACGACAAAACGAGGAGGGGTTGGTTTTGATAATATCAATACTCTATTCTTGTCTAAAGTGACAGCAATTATTTCCTTAATGAAAATTAGTATTGCAGTTCAATAACTTGGGTCCAATAAAATGACGAAAATTACACTATATCAACACTTACCACCGAAATGTACGTGAATCATTGATTGAACTATGTTTGGTTCGCCATAAGTTCAGTTTATGTTTGCTATTTCTAGGTTGTTCATGACAGGACTTGTAAATAATCCTCTGCTTTTTTCAATGAAACTACGTGCAGCTAGACACACTCATTTTTAGAACAAATAATTGTTAATATACAGCTATCTGGATGCAGTCAACATATGGTAGAGTAATATTTGTTGGAGAATCAGGGATACGTATTCAATCAAATCACAATATTTACAATACACCTTACATTACGATAAGAAAGTAAATGTTCTGAATCATCTCTGATTGGATAGTTTCATTTATCTTTTCCAGCGCGACAAAATATCGACTGATGATCTTAGATAATAATAAAAAAGTATTTCATGTCGACTGTGCACTGGTTGTAAAAAACACAGGCATGTTAGAATTTGATCACAATGCGCTATTTCAGAAACAAACTGTAACTGAGAATTGGAACTGTAGAAACAAACGCTTTGTAAACTTTAAGACAAACCAAAAACGCTAAAGCATAAAAAAAATACAAAAATTCCTTAATATTTGCCGACAAATTTCATTGCCAAATTGTCTCGAAATAGATTTACAATTGTTTTATCTTGCTGATAACCTAATAGCTTTGGTTCTGTGAGATATTTCGCGACTCGAACAATCACCGTTAATTTCTCATTTTTAATAACTACAACCAACACTGTGGTTTCCATTCAAGATAATTAATTGTATGATTAAAGCTCGTTTATTTTTCATATAATATTATCTGACCATTAACAAAAATAAATCATTTAAAAAAATGATTGTTAACTCTTCTGATTTATTTTCTGTTCTTTATTTATACTATGGTTTGATAGTGCTTGACGAGTTTATGTCCAATATTTGTTATTTTTTTGCAATCAGCTTTTGAAAAGAATTATGTTGTATGCGTACTTGTATGGAAGTTATGCTCAACTTTTTTCAATTGCCTTTAGAAATCAATGAAATAAAGCTGTTGTGCTATTTTACTTTTTCTAAAGAACGAGAGAAAAACAAGATCCTGTTCGTCAGAAATCTCGAAAACATCTGGGGAGATAGAAAGAAAAAAATAATAAAGCGTTGCAAAAACAGAATAATGCTCTCGACATAATTATCAGTGTATTCATGCAGAGCCAGTAAATTGACTGGTATATAAAAGGACATATTTCATCGTTGAAACATTTGTTTTGTCGGTCTTAGGCAACAATTATTGAAAAAAAAAAGAATTTCATATAAAATCATAGGTAAGTAATCAGAGGCAAAAAATATATTATTATGGAATATAAAAAACAAATAATGATGAGGCGCATGTACAAAAACATTCTGCTTATACTCAACAAGTCGAACTGGGTTTTGAGAGATGTTGACTATCGAATTTGATGAAAATAAAGAATTTAAAAAAGAAATGTGAGTAAAGAATAATGTTTATACAGTAGCTTGCACTTTCAAGTCGACAAAACCAATGTGCTCGAGAACTATTCTTTTATAAAATCGATAGTGTACAGAAAGTCATCTACTCTATTTCGACGAAGTATATAAGATATCAATGAACATACATTTTACCAGAGCATGTTTATCCCGTAAAGGTTTGTTTGCTGAAATTAACACGGCTGCTTAAATCTGTTGATAATGATAGAAAGATGACTGAAAAACAAAGTTAGTGGAGTGTTTCACTGCTGATAATTCTCACCCAACGACAATGATGACTATCAGAAAACATTCCAGATAGATAAAATTCAACGGTAAGAATAAAGAAGTAATTAGTTTCAGCGCATTTACTTTAACAAAAAAAGAAGAATCATGTATAGATTGAAAGAGCAGAAAGCTGTTGATTAGGTAATAAAAATCATAAGTCCAACATGTATTTATAAAGATCAATAAATGTCGACATTTGTTCCCTTGCTTTGCACTTTATGAAAAATTTAGCATTGTTCTTTGTGTACTCCCGTTATTCTTATGTCGTATTTTTATGACTGTACGATAAAAATAAGTCGTATATAGTTTGAAAGAAAAGAAAATTTTCAATCAAAGGATTAAAACATTCATCTTTTCTTACATGCACCGATGAAAATATTGGAAGGACTGGCACGAAGTGCCATTACTTTTGCAGCATACACTGAAAAAAAGGCGCTAAATAAATTCTGTCAGATTTCGTGGAATTTTATTACGCACTTTGAGAATAGTATAGATGCATACGACAGAAATAGTTTCGTAGTGAACCTTCCCAAAGTACCGCTAATCGAAAAATTTCGTACTGTATTGTTTACTTCTCGAATACCCCGTGTGGAAACAGCTATTCCCCGACATATCATATAATTTAGTAGGTTTTAAGTAGAATTTCATTGTCAGCTTCGATAAATATATCCTAGCTTTGTGGATCTTTAGAAAACCACAATAGAATAAAAGTAAGGTTTCTGTTACCGCATAGTGAATGTTCAAATGTTGTTTTGGTCTTTTTCGAATTTAGTAGTATTTTGAGTTTTGAAAAGATTTGCAACATATATAAAAGTCATTTGACAGTATACATGGGGCAGAACCAAAAATTCAAAAGCCAGCTGCATATTCTGACTCGGAAAGGAAGATCGCTTGAAACATTCGATTTGTTGTGTACTTTCAGCTAGTCTCATCCTTTTTCAGAGTATTTATTTATATAGTTAAACTGAATAGTTTTAGATGTGAAAGAAAAGTTTGACAATTTTTTGTGACTGAAAACAATTATCCGATGCCGGATTCAGTTCAGAAACCGTTGTGGGTACCAAAAGTCACCCCTGTGGAGAATATCAATGATTCCTAAGGAACACAATTTTAGTATAAATATGATTAATCACATCGCCCGGTCTCAACAGCCATTATAATGCTAGATATATCATTTCAGAGCACTCTTCAGAATTGTTGCCTTCATTTTAAAAAGAGCTTTCTCTAAAAACTACATCCTAAGCATTAAATCGATGTGTCTGGTAATTTTTTTGCTTTTTTTAAATCTAGAAAACGAATGGCACATCGCAGGAATTGTTTAATATTGGTGTTCTTAATTATTGTCAATAAATTTTACGTTGATAGTCGTCCATTGACATTAGCGAAATTGCAAATTCAAAATTGTATAAGCCAGAATGTTACACGACAGCCCGTAATTATCGATACAGATACAGACGTAGATGATCTATGGGCTATTCTGTATGCTCTTAATGTAAGTATAAAGGGCAAAAAAAGGATTAGGTTCTAAAACATCTTTTTAATAATCGACGTGTAAGGTACCAACTATTGATGTCCTCGCCATAACAACTGTCGGGAATGCATACAGGTAGTCCCAAAATGAATTGACCTTCAAAGAATATTGCCTCTATTTTTATTTTATTATAAGCAAACCGTTGTATTCAGGATCAAATGTTCTTACTTTTCTTGACTTGATTGGCTGTTCAAGTGGTGTTGCAGTTGGCTATGGAGTCAAGTAAAAGTCGTATAAACGTATCTTTTATATCGGTTTACTCTTTTTCGTTTGATTTTGTTTTGTTTCAGCCTTCCATTGATGTCGTCTGGCTACACAATTCCACAATCATTACTCGATTCAATTGATTCATATATGACAGATCCAACTTGTCTTAATCAGTCAGCTAATATATTTCTTCAGCCATCTCCATTTAGTGCAATTGAATTAATAAAACTATCATTGGAATATTCAACAAGACCAGTTGATATTTTAGTTCTTGGAACGATGACGAATCTTGCTACAGCTATTAGTGAAGATCGATCAATTGTATCAAAAATAGGCACACTCTACTTTTCTTGTTAGAATCCTTTCATATTTGAGATGTTTTCGTAGACAAGCATTCTAAAATATTATTTATCTTTGAAGGTGGTCAATTCAAAGCAATCAATTCATATCCATCTCTCATACCAAATTTGACACTAGCTACTTACCCGGAGAGTGAAGAAATGATAGACGCTAGTCCAAATGTTTTCTTGGGTAAGTGTCTAAGTATTCTAGTCTAATGGGTCCATAGCAACTATTGAATCGCAGAGTTTGCAGGGTCACATTTCATTGTTCCTTTGAAAATAAAACGTTTGAAATATTTGATTTGCTCGATCAAAGATCAAGTACTCAAAGAAATTTAGATTTAGATAAAATAAGGAAGTTTTTGTTGGAGTGCTCAGTTTTTCTATATTCGAATTTGCCGCTAAATTTACTCACGTATTGTGCGTATACATTTCAAACTTAGATGTACTTGCTGTGCAACGCGTTGGTATGAGTGGAATCAAAAATATTGTTGCCATGCCAATACATACACAAAATACACTACTAATCAATCTGACGCAACTGAATGAAACATTGACAAAACTGAATATTCAATTGAAACCTTTTGTGCTGAATTTTATATCATCATTTGCAAGATGTACTAGTTCAAATCCAAATGGGACTTATTTAAAGTGGTAAGTTTTCTTTACTAATATCCAAAAAAAGAAACAATTGATCATTTTATGTACATGTTTCTAGGTGGGATAATAGTGCTGCTCAATTCATGGTACAAATGCAAACAAATAATAGTCAAGGATTTTGTCGTCGAACGCAGAATGTTAAATCTCTTTATATAATGTCGGCTGATTCTCATCAATTCTTTGGTCAAGGCATGATCAATGTAGAAACACGTTTACCAAATGCTAGTGGACTTGTAAACTATACAATATGCACAGAAGCCAATTCAGATATATTTTTATCTGAATTCTTAAATAAAATTAGCTCAGAAAAACTTTATTCATGCGCCCGGCAATATAGCGAACGATTTGATATTAAATTACAGCAATGTATGCTAAAATATGAAGATACTTTGCAACAAACTAATATGGGGAAAACGGTCTATTTTCTAAAACCTATTTTTCTTTCGATGTATTTATTTATTGTATTAGTTACCATCTAAGTTGAAACGATGATATCTAACAGTAGTAATTAGCTCATTTTTAATTTCTTTATGCATACGCTTATATCTCTCGAAATCACATTTTCAAAATCATCTAATTACTTTATGTTGCTTTTAATGCAGATCAAATAAATATGCTTAGAACATAGTAAATTTTTGAATGCTTTGAATGATTTTGGTTACACGTGCCCATCTCTGTAAAAAGAGCTGATAAAAATGTAAACGGTGTTACTATGCTCAGAGTATTTTACAATACCTTTTTTTGCTGATATTAGAAATTTAATCGTATTTTCAGAAACTACATGGGTATTCTAGAAAACCTCCACTATCAAAAACTTCAGCCAACGCTGACTATGTATACGAGATTGCCACTTCAATTAATAAAGTATTTTCTCAGGCAAGCAGAAGAATTTTTGAATATACTCAACAGCGAAAACGTACAATAACGAACCGAAATCCAACCTCGAGTTTTTATTTAATGTAAGGAAAGGCTACTAGAGTTTAGAATGCTTTCAAAATTTTCTGTAGAATGAAAGAGATCACAGTCGTCAAATTTTTCAAAAGAATTTTTCAATATTCCCGTTTTCATTTTTCATCTTCGTCATTGGCTCAGTTGGTGATGTACTTAGTATACTATTACTGCTCACAGTATCAGGTACAGCCGATTCGATCAAGAATCATTCTCTCAATGAATCATTTTCTTTTCCAAATATGAAACCATTGTAATACTATTGAAGCAGCATTGTATCATCTATACTTTCTTTGAATGTTCTCAATTTTTGATCCAGTTCAATGAGATGGAAATGATAAATTTAAATTCAATATTAAAACGGTTTTTCTTTCTTTTTCCTTTGTTTTAGATTCGCATCGATTTGATCCAAATGATACGTTAGGGATGTATATGTGACAGTAGAGTTTAGAATCTAGTTGAGATTGGAATGGTTCATTATTCTATAAATGTTGTGAGAAAGTGATTCAGAGAAATAAAAGTTTGTTAGTGAATAATATGAGATAGTTTGATTGAGTATGTAGATTAAAAAACAAAGGTTTCTGTTTCCAAGATTATTTACTGTCTATTTTTCCTAATTGACGAGAAAAAAACAACAAAGATTCTTAATAGATGTTTATGTTTTAAAGTTAAAGTTAATTTTCTTTGTTATGCTTTCAACTACCAGGACTGATTGATTGATGCTCGCTAAACCTTCTGCAACCCGTGTGACGACAAAATAAATGAAAAATAAAGCAATTTAAAACGACTTTAAACAAGTTTATACTTTAATCTTAAAGTTTAAAGTTGTTAAAAGTCGCTTGAAACTACATTATTTTTTTAATTTTTTTTGCGTCTTATAGGTTGCACAGGTTGCAGAGGCTCTAGCGAGCATCAATCAATCAGTCCGGGTAGTTGAAAGTATAACAAAGAAAATTAACTTTAACTTTAAAAAATTAATTTAAAGTGCCACCCCTTTTGGGTCTCGAGCAGCTGGGATTGGAATGGAATGGAATGAGTTTTTAAGTCGAATGATATGGAAGGAAATTTAATTTATTTTTTAAATTTCGAATGAAATTAATAAAGAAGTTTCTTATATGAGTAGTCCATTTGATGTGTTATTATTTACAATCGTTCTTCGTTAAAAAAATGAATAAGTTAATATAAAAGAAACTTCATAATTTATGTCTAATCATTGCCTGTTTCATATAGTGATGGAGATCGATTATTAAAACTCAAATTAATAAACAAATGATAACAAAAAAAATTAGATATTAATAGATTCTACTAAATTCTTAAAATGTAAAACTAGGATAAATAAATATTTATATGATGATGTAACATAAATATCATAGTCAACGCAGTATTTTTTTCCGTTTAATATTAAAGTATTAGTTCAACAAGATACATTAATTACTATGTGGCTCATACAAGCGATATGAGAGCGCATTGAGATAAATGAAAAATAAGAAACAAATTTTGTTTTTGTTTTGATCATCAATTTGAAAAAGAAGTTTAAATTATGATCAATTAGAAAATACTTTACTAAATCTAATTCATAGAAAAAATATCCATACCGTTCATATATCTTTATTTGAATTTTGATTTTTGAAAATATTTTTTTTCCTTTTCTTTCCTTTGTTCATTTTTGTGTATATTTTCTCTATCTTTAATTAAATCTACTATTCCAATATCAACTAAATTCTCATATCAACTGCAACATATGCATAAATAAGGAGATATACAGAGATATAGGACAAGTTAGATAATAGATGTACTAGACCAGAATTAAAATTATGGTGATCATGATATAGATTTAATATGATAGTATAGGTTTTGTGAAGCGAATGCCAAATATGACTAGATGGTATTCGAGTTTCACTCGACTACGAAATGCGGTGCGAAGCACACGAGCCGAATTTTCGAAAGTAGCGAGAATAAGATTTGAAAATAAATGATTCACTTTAAGATTCATTACAAACGTNACTTACGGTTCTCTAGATCATCGCGCTACTTTATTAGAGCTTTTATGCGTACTCAAGTTAGAAAGAAACAAAAAAAAAACTCGCGACGGACTACATAAATGCTGTGCTTCGCACCGCATTAAAAAGTTTTCAATGCATTACAGTGAATTATAATGCATGAAATAAGCTGCATTATCATGTAATTGCGTTTCTATTTTTAAACAATCCATTGTAATGTCCATTATTTCATAAAATTGACTACGTAGGATGTTTCTATCTAATGCACTGAGTTAAACTAACCGTACAATTAACCCAACCGTAGTTGATATTGAACAATGATGAGCTGAAAATAAAGAAAAATATTTTTTGATGTAAAATTGATAAATAAAAGAATAGCTTACTTTATCATGCTATCTTTAAATCGCTATTATGATATATCTAAAATGAAAGAAAAAACATCAAAAACATGAGAAAATTTCATTTACTTCAGTTGATACTTGTAAATTTAAAACGATTAATAAAATATTTATGCGAGAACTAAAATAAATGGCAAAATAATACCGAAAAATTGATTAATATAATAAGAAGAAAACAGATACCTAGATACATCGAATAGATTGTGTTAAACGTTTTATATGGGGAGAGGAGACAAATTCATTAAAGTTAATTCTTTAAGAAGAATGTCTTAACCTTAAGGGATGTCCGTCAGACAAGAAAAAGCCAACTGTAAAACAGAAAAATAAAAATAGATGCGCTTTCCAGGTCGGTTATTATAGCTGATTAAAGGCGTTCTAGAAAGCAAGCACAGTGTAAATATCATAAGACCTAGCTATAATTGAGAAATAATGCTATGGTAGCAGTTTCAATTTTATTTTGAATATTTGTTTATTTGAATGGCAAAAGTTTTATTCAATTGTAAAATATTCAACATAATCTTCTAGTTTTTGTTAGGCCTTGCAAAACAAACTTTCTGGAATCTAGTCATTTTCCACTTCAAAATATTTGATTTTTACGATCAGTATAGCTCATATCTCAAGTACTTTCCATCATGTGCTTATGCAGAAAATGTTGGGTGTCGTCGCAGGACATTATAAAGAGAGATAGTGCAATTAATGTTTGTTTATTTAGAATTTCATGCATACATTAAAAACTGTCCTTTAATGAAAGCAGTTCAAATGTTGTATTCCGTCTTTTAATAATTTAAATAATGTTGCCCGAAATAATGTGCCAGTTAGTGTAAACAGATAAAATGCTATGCAGTTAGGTGCATACGTAAGGAGAA